TGATCAAGGATTAATGTTCAATATTGCATATCTATTGTCAGAATTAATGTTCTATATGATTTTGAATTTCTATTTGAACAATTCTAGAGTAGTGTTGAATTCTTCTGATAACTAGTTATGTATATTAAAGAGATTAACTGATGTGTATTTATAGTATATTAATTATATGCTATAAGTCGTATAATATATAAAAGAATATATAATCAATTTTTTAAATCTATTTTTTGATTTAATATTCTTTCCTTTGTACATAGAAATGTTAAAATCTAACAATAAATTAATTAAAATTATGAAATTAATTAAAATATTATTACAACAATTAATAAATAATTTAATTAAATAAAAATACTTTTTTTAAAAAAATTGAGTTTATAAATACTGATTCTAGAAAGTTTATGCGACCGATTTATAATCTCGTTTGAATTCATTCTCCTTTGTATTTCAAAGCTACATACGTATAGTACGTATAGTACACCGCTATAGATACATTCGCACGAGTAGATAGATTGGCAGATAGATAGGTAGGTAAGTAAGTGATTTATATGTGTTGTACCTTCTGTAATCGATTTTTGTTGTATCATGCAAATTTTTCATTGCTGATAAAATCAACAATATTTCTATAATTATTTTTATGTTTATATGTGTAGACAAATATCAATTTATATGGCAACAATGTTCTGAGCATTTTAACAATTAATTGCCAGTTAACAATTAGAGAATTGTTAAATTAATTCGTTTCGGTTTCAAACAATTATTTAATTTTAGTTTTTAGTTGTTTTGTTAAAAGTTTTCTATTGTAAATCACACGGATTTAATAAATACTTTGTATAATAAATAATGTTTCTTTTGTTATTAGAAATTATTCAGATAATTGGGAATTTTTTAATTTTCAAAAAATATAAATTGTTTTAATATTTATAATTTTAGAATAAAATAATGATTAATATAACTTCAGTTATATTACTTAATATAATATGATTTATTTAGATATTTTTATTTATACTATATTTAAATTTGAATTCATTTATTATAAACGAATCTATTTCTGTTTATAGACTTTTTTGAATACGATAATAAATAATGTGTTTTTTTTTAATTAAGTGATTAGAATAAATTAAATTTTAAAAGGGTTGGGAACTCTGTCACCACGTTACAGCATCCTTTGAGTATTATTGTGACAAACCCACTTTAGTTTCATAGGCATGTAGCAGTTAAAAATGTTATTATGTTCTTTGGATAGATATTGCCAAAATCCGTTATAAGTGGTTAGGCAGTGGATAGTTTCCTCTTCTTCTTGACAAAGTCTGCAGTTATCGTCCTTGTAATACCTATATTCGATAGATTTTTTTTGACTCCACAATGTCCAGTAAGAAACCCTGTGATTCAGGGTTTCTTACTGATAAGCTAAAGAATTCAGTATGAATTCAGTATGAATTCTTTAGCTTATCTGCAGACAATTACTTTGTCCCAATCAGTCTGAGATGCTTCTTCCAGCCATTCATTAATTTCAAGTTTAAGAACTAGAGTTAAAAACTAGAACTATTGCCCAGGGTGCAAATGGACTCCGATTTTGGGGTTCTGTACTTTACACTCTTTTTCTATTTTTATGTCGTTTGCATATATACAGAAAGGTAGAGATAGAGAGAGAGAAAGATTGAGATAGAAATAGAGAGAGAAAGAAATCCGTGTGGATTTCTAGTTTACTGGCAATAAAAAAGAAAACACCGTCGAGATCACTTTATTTAACAGATTTTATCAAAGTTATATTGTCTTATGCACCAACGAAGTTCGGCTGCAAGTAGGCTTTTGAAACAAACAGTTCGCTATATATATTACAGAGTAAAGAAGTTTACTTGACGCTAAGTCGACAATCACTTAGCAGTCAAAAATTTATTGTTAGCTGTAAATATGAACGGTGGTAATATAGATTATAGACATTCAACTCGAAGAACATGAAGTAGTTCAGGTTGTTAACATTTCAATTTTGGTCTACTTTAGAATATCATTTTCTTTATATCGAATAATTGTAACATTATAAAGTAATCTTTTAATCTAATTTTTAAGATTCTCAGTCATGTCTTAAACGTTTATTTATAAATATATGGTATATTAGATTTAAAAAAACCCACTGTCACGTTACTATATAGTTAACCAAAGGAAAAATAAAAACTTGTATTTAAATATACATTAAAAATATAAACTATTTTCAGACATGTTTCAAAGAATAAATTATTATCAACCTTGGCGCACCAACTAATGGATATTATTAAGGAATATAATGTATATTAAATTTTCCTTTTGATCCAATCTCTTCTAAAATATCAAAATTCTTATATACTTTTCAATAAGATTTATACTAAAAAGTGCTTAATTACTAGCATTAAAGTAATAGAGATTTATTTTTTTTTTTAATTTAGTATAAATAAAAGTGATTGTATTATAGATAGATGTTTGATTTTGAACTTGCATGTTAATATAGTTAATTATGCTCTACTTAAGACATAGAATTTGTATATCAGAGTCTTGTCCAAAACACATTATACCTTAAAAAATATATAAGTATATGATTTAACCGTATCATAGTTTCCGAATGTGAATCTTTGATTCAAAAAAGTAGATTCAGTGTTAAGACAGATATAGATAATTTTTTCCGGTAAAAATAATAAATCTTAATAAATCTATTAAAAGTAAAGTGAAAGTGAAATTATATTAAACAGAAGAATAATTTAACCAATTCAGATTCAAATGATGGTAATAGCCAAGTGATATAAGTCCCAATGTCGAACTATTATTGCAATTTAATTTGAAACTATTTTAAAAAATAGGTTTATTGTGATTTATAGTAAAATAAAATTTATTAAGATACACAAATAAAGAAAATTGACTACAAAAAAATGAAAATTTAATAATTTAAGATATTTTCATTCATTATATTGAAATCTTTTATTCAAGTAGTTGCAATTCTAGTTGTCTGACTTAGGTGTGGAAAATAGAGTTTTAGTAAATGTATTGTAAATCAATTATTTTTAAATCTGAACTGATCTTAACCAGTATTTATACTGATATATAAAATAATTTTTTTTTATAATCATTTGCTCTTAACTGAGCATATTTCATGTTAATTTCATGTTGATTCTTGTCAATTAAGAGGTTTAAATCACGAGGTTTCCTATATCGGATCGCTCAAAAAAAAAAATATAGTAAGTAAATAATAACTAATTGGTTTGTAACTTAAGTCTATGTGTGTAGGACATTGTAGCTTAAACAAAGCTAATTTTTATCCTTCCATATTTCACTTTATATATGCAAAATAAAAAATAATAGTTTGGGATTATTAATGTTGGTCTTAAGAAGTTTTCAGGACTTATTTATTTAATCAACACTTGACACACCCGCGTTTGTATATATAAAACATATGTATATTTTTTACTCTTGGTATTTTATATGAGAAACACTCGGATGTGTTGGAGATATTAATCAAAGTGATAATTCTAATACATTCGGATCCATTTAAGAGTTTTTTTTTTATTGAATTTTAGAAAAATTTAATGTATATTTAAAGAATATTTCTTCCAATTTATTCTAAAATAAAAAAAGCGTTTTTTAAGCGGTCGAATGTCGTAATCGGAATTCATCCATGCCTAGTTAAGAGTTTTTGCAATGAATTCTACATTAGCCGTAATTTTTTTTTTCAGAGTTGTAAAAAAACAGCATTAAGTCTGGTTGAAACGAATTGGCATCACTTTTAAAATATTATTGCAAATGCTTGTTTTTTACTTATGTTTTGTGTTGTATTCTGTTGTTTATAATATTATATATAAAAATTGTACACTAAAAATAAATTAATTTAAATAAATGAAAACAATAGTAAGCATATTAATTTTGCATACTTCAATTAATTAATTTGTTTTTGTATTTGTACTTATTAGTAAATGAAATGCTCATATAACTTTGACGGGAGATTGGAAATTTGCAACATATTTCCAGTGAACATTCACAATAGCCTGATTTTTGATATTGGCCTAACTCTGAAGTGTTTAAGAGCATTGTGTTTGCTTAACATGTTTTATTTTGTAAGTTGTGAGTATTTTTTTGCTACTCTGAAAGAAGAAAATACGACTATTGAAAAAATTCATTGTATATTCAGTGTATGTTACTTTAAATGGTCGGTTGTTTGCAGCGGATAAAATTGCTAGTTTCGTTTACGTCAGTTTAGTAGCATGTTCCCACTGCAGCTAAAACAACTTATGATAATCTAATTAAGATTTGGCTGTTTCCATTGGCATAAATTGATTTATGCATGTGAAATCATTGATAACTAACTGATATTGATAATTTTTTGTTAAATAATATCTATAAATTATTTACTCTTAATTAAGTTAAAAATAAATCAAGGAAACTTTGACTAAATAAACAATATCATACTATGATATTGTGTATTTGTATAGTATATATCTTACTATATGATGTATATTTGGTATACATTAAGACCGAA